TACTCTTTTTTCTATTCGTAACAAGATACCTAACTTGACATTCAGGCATCTGCTGCGCTCAGTGCTGATGGTAGTACGACGTCCGCCATGGCCGATGTTGTGGAAGGCACGACGCAGAGAACTGTGAGCGAGTCTGGAGGTGGCCGCCGTTCTGGTGATGGTATCGATTTTTTCTTTGCTTATCGTACGATTGTTTGATTAGCAAAAATGTCCCCTTTTCATGGCGCATTTCTGTAATCATTTTTTGTAGTGGGGCTTGATGCGGCCGATGATCCTTTACGGGTACTGCGTTTATCACAGCAAAATCAACAGCCTGCCAATACTGAACCGCAACGGGTGTGTTTCCAATTTTCTTATGCAGTCCTTCTATGTATACGGAGACATGGAAGATGAAGATTTTTGTTCTTGGAGATTGCTAGCGTGTATTCCAGGCACACATTCCTGCTTGGCTAGGTGCATCTCCATTGGGTCGTATTCCGACAACTAACGAAATGGATATGCAATTAGCTGCATTGGAAGCATCTCTTGCACGCACTCCTCTGCCTATGGATAGTGAACGGCCTCGAACTTACTTGCCGAAAATACCATGTCCATGCGCGTCCTATTATCCACAGGTAACATTTTATCTGCTCTTTCGAGTTTTGAATCACCAAGATATGTGGGCAGTCGTTGGTCATCAATTAAGTCTCTTAGTTTGAGTTTTAACAGAACTACCTATTCTAGTGGAGTTTTGGTAGGTCTGCGTCGTAAATATAGTAGCTGCAGCTAGGCGTCTTAGAAGATGCGAAATATCATTATTCGTTATTTCTGTTTATATTTGATAGCTGGCTCAAAGAAATGAACGCCTCGCAGCTCTATTATTCTGTGGTATAGCATTGTGAGAAAGCGAGCTGTATGTAGAAAAGGAGAAAAAAGAACAGACGATCTTGTATCGGTACCCTGGACAGGGAGTGGGCATCTTACCGCCCTTTCTGCTCAGCTTCGACTGGTACACTCACTTTGTTAGGACTTTGCTGTGCAACTAAATTTGGATCATTCTGTCTATTTTATCCTAGAATATACTCTCAAATAACGCGGAGTGCGCTAGAGGGACGAGGACGCAAGTTCTTCAATAACTAGATTTCTATTGTAATAATGGTCGCGTTGTCTCATAAAATGAGTACTGTTGTCCATGGTTGCTCTGCTGTGAATTGTCTTATTTCATGATTTGTAGATGCATGAAGAACTAGTGGGAATGGCGCAAACTGATTTTGCTCTTGAGTTTAGTAAAGCAATAGGATGAGATCGTTCCGTTGAAGCTTTTATCGAGACGCCGTCTCCATAAACGTGTTCAAAGGAAGCTATCATATTATGTGCGGAAATACCAGAAAACACAGTCCTTTTAGGCGTGATATTGTCCTTTCGTTCAGAACCTGTATCATAATCACAAAACCAAATTTTCCGAACTAAATCTCCCTTATGAATTTGTTCACTCTGTAGTGCCACCCTCTAAATTGCAACTACCTGCGCTAGCGCTCACGTCTTTGAATGGGTATCCCATGAAGCCATAGTCTCATGAAAAAATTTGGTCGTTTTGGGTTCTTTGAAGGTTTGTTATATAACAAGTTGTTCCTATACGCTTTGAACCCTTTTCGTTTAATTTCGGGATGATCGCCTTCTTTTGCCGGTGTACAACAGAAGTTCTCTATTTTGTTTGAAAGCTGCATTATGATCTGGCTAACATATTTTTGGATCGTTTTCGCGTAGAACGTTTTCGGCCATTTTTACTATCTGGAACTGTACTTTCTGTATTGTATGCGTTAGTCAGAGGTTTCTATATGCGTGGAGAAACGTCTCTGTTCGACAATATTGAGAGTATCCCATAAATTATTCTTCCCTTTTAGGTTTCTGCACAAAACGTCGACACCCTCGAGTACTACCTGAGGCTGAGTCCAGAAACTCTCTTCTTCATCTTCTATTACATGGAGGTAATTGAAGTTACTTTTTTGAGTACTGCATTTGATAGAAACATTTTATTTGTAGTTTCTTTGCTTCTTTTTTGAAAAGGTAAATTCGAGCGTCATGTTTCCTAAGAGGAATGGTGCAATTTTCTTATTACACAGGCGTCGCTTTCGACCACTGTATTTCCTTTTCTAGAATTATATTTTACTGCATAAGAGGAATCTCAAAAACGTTCTGCTCAGTCATGGTCCATACTGTTTTCAGGGGACGAGAGCACAGTTGTTAGCCGCGAAGGCGCTGAAAAAGTTGTCATGGCGCTTTCATACAAAGTATCTCACGTGGTTTCAACGGCATGAGGAACCGAAGCAAATCACGGACGATTTCGAACAGGTTATTTGGTCTGCCTTAAATGTGATGACATTCTTTTGATTGTTTTTCTTTCTTCCAGGGAACCTATGTGTATTTTGATTACGAAAAATGGTCACAACGAAAAAAGGAGTCATTCACGTTCGAATATCGGTACCTTGAAGACAAGGATTTCGAGTGAAGCCAGGACAAAGTATGTTCTAGTTTTGGTTATGTCTTTCCTGTCTATGTCAAATATTTTCAAGCATGTTTCTATTTGATTGAATGATTGAACACTCGGAACATTGTTTATTTCTAAACGATTACAATACTCTCTTCTGTACCCCCCTGCTTTTTATAAGATTGATGTAGATGATAGGGAAAGGAACCAAAAAAGCGCTAAAGTTCTAGAAGTTTCACTTGTTCTGGTGGAAGAATTGATTGAAACATGAATTTTGATGTATTCTCTAAAATAAGTCGGATATCAAAAATTTTATGTACTCAAAGAAATGCAAAAATGTAGTTCAATGTTAAACTGAAGTCGTAGACTTCTTCGGTAATCTGAGCTTACTTTCAGGTCTTGCTGTCATGGGTTCCGCTGTACAATACCTCTATCTCGTCCTTTGTTATCTCCAATCTCTCGTGTGGTCATCTCGAAGTCGTCGTTCCATCTGAACATCTCCGTGCTATCGTCCCCTGTGCTGGCCCTAGTTCTGTCATATTACATCAGAAGTTTCTCCTTTTCCTTCGCTATTTAGTCAGCATCCATCGTCCTTGGTCATTGTTGTAGTACTAACTCATAATGGTCATTTCTCTGACTTAGTCTTTTAGTCATCTGTTTTGTTTTTCTTAGTATTGCATCATTCATGAATTCTCGTGGTGTTGGGGTTTTCCGTTCTCGCCTTTGTAGTTTTGTAGATATTGTTGAGATTTTGAGAATAGTAGTGTATTCTGTTTAGTATGATGGGAACAGTTGACATTTCCCGTACGCTCCTGACTAGGATCAATCATCCAAAACGATCAGAATGGTGGTATCTTAGACATTGATCCTATTTTTTAGGTGGTCAAGTGCGCAACGTGGCGTTCGTTTATGTTCCCAGGGGTAGCTTTGTGTTCCAGCGCGAGAGCGGGTTCGAACAGCAGAAATTCTGTTTGGGTGCTCTTCCCGTTCGTTTTCGTCTTTGACACTATACGGCAGCTTTTTTTTCCCGCTCGCCATTTAAAGGTACTACTGACGTTCAGCGGGTTGACGTCGGTCTCGGTCGGGCTCTGTTCTCCATGTACCTCAACTGTCCTCTCAAACCAACCAATTCTCCCTCTTTTGTCAAGGTTGACGTACAAACCGTTCTCCCCACCATTCTCCACCTCTCATAATTGGGCGAAACATTGTCATAAATAGCGCTGCAGCGAAAACTCGGTTTATTCTCGAACACACCTGTCTGTAGATTTAGTCTTCCATTACGGTCCACAGTAAGATCTTTTCTGTGATTCTTTCCTCTCTCTCTTTTCATCACATTGTTCTCTTCATCTCTCCACCTTTCCAACGTTTTATTTCCAAACAATGATAGGCACAATACATATACACTGCTCGTTTTTGACAACGATGTTGGGTTAGACGTGGGGCAGTATAGATCATTTGTTTGACATGCCGGTTCAGCAATACTTTCGAGATGAGGCAAATGCTCCTACGAACCTCTGGCTGCATGCGATCCTCACTTTATTATCCATCCTCCTCTTCTCCTTGATTCTTCCTTGTTACCAGTTTCTATTGGAGATTTTTATTGTAAAAATAAACTTCTTATTGTTCTGTCCCTGCGTGTATTTTGAAGATAGCAATATTTGACGATAACACAGTATTTTTTCACTTAGTAATCAAAATTACTTCTCCACAGATGAGGTGAGGGGCTTAAGATCATCGAATTCTTACTCATAAACATATCTGCAATTTTTCGAAGATGGTTTATTGGCTATTGTACCGTCAACTTTTTTTCAATGAACTACCCGGGAGAATGGCGCACTGACAACTTTCAGAGTAGAGCGTCAAGCGCCCTTGACGTGAGTGCGTCAAATGTGACGCTTTGCTCTGAAAACGCCCGTTCAGGACAACAACGGCTTCTTTCCTTTTGCGGTCGATAGACTTAGCATTCGTACAGAACTGCTACGAATTCTGATCCTACGATTACTCTGAGCAAAAGTAAGTGCCGCGAGTCCACCAATCCATGGAACGGATACTTCGTATTCTACATCTGGTGGAGAACTTGAACAAAATTCAACAACATCTTCCCCATGTATTTTATATATTCAGCTTTGACAAAGGATTAAGGTAGTACCTACTTGACTTCTACCATATGGTTGTGGTGTATGGAAAGTAACGCACTTTGATACAAGTATGGTCTGAGGATCCTGTCTTGGATAGATATCCGCTCAAACTAACCAAGCCCTTTATCTCTTCGAGGTTCGTTAATTGCTGTCGCACTGATCTCGGAAGACAAAGGCACTGACTATACGCGCAAATCAATGTACAGACCACATAGGCATCCAAACTGCCACTACGGTTCTGACTGCAAGTCTACTGCGAGGCGCATCTAAAAAACGTTAATCTTAACGTTAATCTTTACATAGTTGTAGGTATAATTACGGTGATCAATAAGCAGCAAATGTTCGAATGCGTTTATGCATGCATACAACGGATCATAGACATTAATCAGTATCGACAAATGCCTCTTGGTCAGAACTGTTGGATTTACAGAGCGAAATAGCCTGAAATCTGGTTGCTAGGTAGTGTAGTACTGCAATGATCAATTTGGCATCTTGTACAGCACAGAACTGCAAAACTTCCGTCATGATTGGCTACCAAAGCGGAAACACATTTAAGAAAAGTAGAGATTGTGGTCAGTCAGAGGAAGCTTACTGCTAGCAAGGCTTTTCGTTCAACAGTCGATAAAAATGATTTCTGAAATTCCCTTTTGGGACGGACCTTGGACGCATAAGAATAGCGCTAGGGATTTTCCGCGTCGAGAAACGGTCTAGGTTGAGCGTAATAAAGGTTCCATAACCGGCTTGGCCGACGCACACACCCAAAAGTAGACGAGTTCTGACGGCGTTGTGGGGACTGTAGGATTGCACCATTCGCACCGGCACGCACACCCTCCCGGTTAATTGTGCTAGCTTTACGCACTGGCGCACCCATTTGAACGACTTCTGATCTTACTCCTTTTTAATGCCTTATATTTCTCTGAGTACACCGTTTTTTTTTTTGCGTTTTTCTCGCCACTTATGCACTATTCTTGACCATCACTTCCGTTATTCGTCTGAAACTATAGATCCCAAAATTATCGCGAAGTGGGTCTTTGATGTCCGAGTTAACACCTACGTAACATCAAATCTCTTCCACTTCTACTATAATATGGTTTTCGCACAATAATAGAATTTTCCTGGGAGAAAAGGCTCACCAACTGTAGAAATAATAGCCGCACAGGCTAAGCCAATTACAATCGCTTTAGCAGCGTACGCCTTCCACATCTTTTTACGTCGCACTTCCGTAGCGCAACGTTGGAATTCGTTCGACGCCATGTCCAGTACTTCTGGAAATGCGTAGGTTTTGAAAGATGAGCTTCGCCTTTGTCGTCGTTCTATGGAATCAGATGATTAGTTTGTGTAACTCTGAATAACAGAGAATCTCGAAATGAAATGGGTTTATACAGCATTCGTGGCTGTCCAACTTCCTGTACTAGCAAGTATTCGGCCGTCGCCTACTCGCCACTCCGCCTATTCTCCGATATCCAGGACTATAAATGCATGGGAGTTTGTCTTCGTGAAGATGTTTTTCAAGACTAAAGCGCTACTTTACAAGTGTTGAGCTAGAAAGTGCTTCGCCGTTGGGCATACCGACCGTTCAGCAACGTATCGCTGCAGTATCATAAGAACTAATACTGCTGCATCCTATTCTCACTTAGGGACCTGTTGTGAAGAAAAAAAACAGAACGCAAAGAAGAGCTACGTTCATTTCTGCTCTGCGCTCTTTCACCG